CACTAAGTGTTGGTTCACAAATGCACCACCTTCAAATACTATTAATTACACATTGGGCGAGGTAAACTCAATTATCTTTACGGTTCTTAATGAGGTGTATGTTCGATTTGCCGGCTCAGTCTTTCATCAAACACAAGGCGTACCTATGGGAGGAAACACTAGCGCTGATATCGTTGATTTAACTCTTTCCATAACGGAACATCGTTATATGAAAACACACAAAGATGTTCGTTTACGACTGTTTCGATACATTGATGATATTTTGGAAGTTAATAATCTTGCCTTCTCCCCCATTGCCCCAGACATATATGGTGGTACGCTAGAGATTAAGAGCACCTATTCTGGACATAGGGCTTGTTTTCTTGATTTAGAAATCTCCTGCCAGAATACTGTTTGTAGCTTCGACGTGTATAACAAGGCTTTGGACTATCCCTTTCCGGTGAACCTGTATATTGCTCCTGACAGTGATGTCGATCGAACTTTAGTTGAAGGAATTCTCTCTCATTTCTCAAATACTGCGGTACTCGCGAATCAGCACTTCTCCAGATCGATTCATTTGGTACTCCAGACGACTAGTGTTTAGGTACTTGGAAAGGGGATGCGACGAGCACAAACTGACTCAGTGCGTTCCCAAGTTTGTTAACAGGCACACTGCCAACTTGGCTAAATACATATATTGTGATGATTGTGGGATAAGGAGGATTTGCGCGGCTATATTATCCGGCGTTATGCTATTTGTCAACAAAGCTTGCTTTTTAGCATGATTACGCAAGGAGAACCGCCTTCAAAGCGTACCAAGGCCGACAATTACCTCATTCACGTTAGTCTACATTTCCCATGCAACTCGCTATACTCGTACAAACATGGTGATTAGCTGGCTGTGCTGATGATTCCCGCCCCTAATCACGTCTGTTACAGTCTGTGTTTACAGCTTGGGGATGAAACACAGGCAGGCTTTTTATATATACAGCTTTCACATGACTTCTATTAAATCCGACCTTGAGTTTTTTTAAAAAACATTCATCACAACAATCTGGACCCCTTTTTTAGTTTATTTTTTATTCTTCTCTCTTTAATCGAAATTTTACGAACATCTGGGTAACACTGTGGCTGCGGGGCTGGTATTCCAGCCCCGCTTTCCTTTTCCTCACACGGCCCTTCAGGCCCGTACTGCCTTTTTGTAGTGATTGATCGGCGAAAGAAAATTCCGTTTTACTTCGGGCACCCTGATTTTACAGTCTTGCACAGCACAATATTTTAGATATCACACACAAAATGTTAGATATCCCATAGCGAATTTGAGATACCCCGTACAATTTTTTAGAT